GTTTGTTATCTTGATTTAACTTCTAGGCTACAGTTTTCCAGCTGTTTAATAAGAATGATAATTCCAGAGCCACAGTCTGAAAGTGTTGTTTTCAAGATTGAATAAAGTAGTATCTATAACACTGCTTTGTAAACTGAAATGATGCAACAGGAGCAGACAGCATTATTTATTTAAAGGGAAGAAAATATGCTAGAGATTTTATAATTATTAATGTTTACCACCGTTTAGTAAGAGTATTCAGCTCTTTCTTGATTTAGTAAGATGACAAATCACATGTTAATCTGTTAAACAGTTTACATCTGAAATTCAAAGTTCATTTTTAGTAGGAGCATTGTCTCTTCTTTTATCTATGTTTCTCAGCTTGTTAAAATATATTACATTGTGTAGGAGCAAAACTGAATATCAAAGAATATTGTAGGCCTCATGTGTTTGTGTCTTTTGTTTTCTCTGGGGTAGCTCTGCTTAATTTACTAACACATAAATCTTTCCTACTCTTAGTGCTGGAAAGTCAATTTAGCTGAGGAAGAATGAAGCTGAATTCAGTTCTGCCTCATGCATCACCAACAAATTGCTAGGCCAGTTAAGTTTTGATTGCAGAATATTTATTTTTGGTGACAGATGTTGCTGATGTAAGAACCTAGATGATCACAGCTTGAATTAGCCCGGGTTAAGGTTGAAAAAAATTGAAATGGAAAGTGTTAATGGAAGTAAACATTGCAACATCAGGATGATATTTTTAGTATTATATTTCTGATGATATTTTTGTGGTAAATAGAGTGTGACTACATTTGCATGCAGGCAATGAATTTTGGCAGAAAGATGGACATGGCCTTTTATGATATCACATTCTTAAGGTGACAGTTTGGTTATGGAACCTAAGAGAGTTAAATTTGCTACATTCTAATTACTTGTTTGGATCAAACAAGTGCAGATTCCAGAGTGGAGACTAGTGACTAGAAATCATGTGATTTTGGAGAAGATTACCATACACCTGTGTTATGTCTATCACATCTCATATCATATCATATTATAATAGTTTCTTTACCTTTCTTTTCAAGTTGTCCAGAAATGACTATGAACATCTTTGCATGTAATAGATTTTCAGTGACTGTTAGATGAAAATTAGCTATATAGGACATAATTCTCCTATCTCCACACTGAATGCATGCAGACTTTCACAGGAGAGGAAAAGAATCATTGGGACTCTTGTCTCCTTGGCAAGATCATGCATAGTTTTTTGCATAAAGGTTTTTGTGGCCCCCACATGAATCACTAATGGTGACATGTCAGGTAAGTGTCACAGGGAGGTCACTGAGAAGGCCGTAGCAGTAATTCTTTCACTACAACCACCTTTCCTCTTTGAAAACAGCCAAAAGCTGCTGACCCAATGGGTTTTTCATTCCTGCTGCGAAGTTGTTGAATACATAAAAAGACCATTAGAAATCCTAATTTTTTTCTCAGTGCAATGGTGAGAAAAGGAATGATTCCTATTGATGCAGGATGTTTTCTTGACCCCTTTATGGAATATTGGGGGAACCAGCCCCCAATATTTCAACGTAGGTTCTTTTCTATTTTCCCTAAGTGTTGGCCAGTCTGAGAAATAAAGGGAAAGAGTACAAAAGAGAGAAATTTTAAAGCTGGGTGTCTGGGGGAGACATCTCATGTTGGCAGGTTCCATGATGTCCCCTGAGCCACAAAACCAGCAAGTTTATAGTACCAATTTTCAAAGGGGAGGCACTGTACCAATAGGGTGTGGGTCACAGAGATCACATGCTTCAAGGGCAACAAAAGATCATAAGGCAGAAGGTCAGGGTGAGATCACAAGGTCAGGGCAAAACTAGAATTACTAATGAAGTTCCATGTCCCGCTGTGCATGCATTCTCATTGGTAAACATCTTAACAGGGCTCAAGAGCAGAGAACCAGTCTGACTCAAATTCGCCAGGCTGGAATTTCCTAATCCTAGCAAGCCTGAGGGTGCTGCAGGAGACCAGGGAGTGTTTCATCCCTTATCTGCAACTGCATAAGAGAGAAACCCCCAGAGCGTCCGTTTTAGACCCCCCCCCACCCCGAGAATGCATTCTTTTTCCCAGGGCTGTTGATTATTAATATTCCTTACTGGGGAAAGAATTCAGCAATATTTCTCTTACCCATTTTCAGTAATAAGAGAAATATGGCTCTGTCCTGCCTGGCTCCCAGGCAGTCAGATCTAATGGTTATCTCCCTTGTTCCCAGAACATCGCTGTTATCCTGTTCTTTTTTCAAGGTGCCCAAATTTCATATTGTTCAAACACACATGCTTTACGAACAATGTGTGCAGTTAACGCAACCATCACAGGGTCCTGAGGCAACATACATCTTCAGCTTACAAAGATGACAGGATTAAGAGATTAAAGTAAAGACAGGCATAGGAAATTGTAAGAGTATTGATTGGAGAAGTGACAAATGTCCATGAGATCTTCACAATTTATATTCTTCTGTCATGACTTCAGCAGGTCCCTCTGTTTGGGGTCCCTGACTTCCTGCAACAATGGAACACATGACAGTGATGTCCCATTTACTCAGCTGCCCTGCTCAACCCCTCATGGGAGGCAGAGTGCAGATGAACCAGTATGGGAAACAGAGCGAATGAATGAAAGAACTGGCTAGCTGCTTCAGCACTGGCAGGATCAAGCTCTGTACAGGTCCTGCAGCAACATCCAGGTGGGGGTGTCTGGTAACCCCAAGACCCCAGGGGGCATGTTACAGTGTTCCCTTGGCTCTGCTGCCCATGGACAGCAGTGTGTTACCATCTCATGGGCCCTTTTCTCATCACATGGGGAGGCTGCCCTCTGCCAGCAAGGGCAAAGGGTCAGTGTGACAGTCTTATTGAGTAGTTGCAATTAGTGCATTTTGAATTCTTCTCTGGTGTCCAAGAGGAATAAGGTCATGCGGATAAATTGAATGATGGTGAATGAGGATAATTTTATTGAGTGGTGAAAGCAGCTCTCAGTGGAGAGGGGAGCTGGAAAGGAGATAGGAAGGGCAGGTCACACTTCCCTGAAGTCAAGCCTCCGCTCTGCCTCTCTCTTCCAAAGTCAAGTTGCCTCTTTTTGACATCTAGCTGCCATCTCTGAAGTCAAGTCACCTCTCCCCAGTGTCCAGTAGCTTCTCTCCTCTACTGGCTGAGTCTGAGGTCTTTATAGGCACAGGATGTGTGGGGGTAGAGTGGACCATAGGTAGTTTTGGAAAAGGCAACATTTCATTTGTAAAAAGACATTATTCAGAAAGCACCAATTGGGAAAGGGCAGGCACACAGAGATGGAAGTTCTCACTGTGGGCTGTGGGTTTCAGGCTTTTTGGCTTGAAGGCGGGGTTTTGCTGGAGACCCACCCCTATCTGCCTTGAGGTTCTCTGCCTCTTGCCTCTATCACTATTAGTGGAGGAAAAAAAGTAGTGATTAAGTTAGCTTTATCGTTTTGTCTTTCCCAATAGTACATTAGTTTTTTATGTACTAGAAGGAAGATTTAGTTTTAACATGCTTATGTTTGACTATGAATTTTAAGTTCATTTAACTTTTACATTTAAATTTAATTTTTACATTTAAATTTTACAGTTTTTTTGAAGATATATTGGAAGAAGGCACAATTGGAAATATGTAGATCATATCTTAATTTTACAAGGTATATTTTTAATAGTCAGTCTTTGTCCATGTCATGAATATCTGACAGGTAGCTTTGCCAACATCTTTTTTTTTTTTTTTCTTGGTAGAGGGCATCCACTCATTTGTTCTTGGAAATCCAGGTAAATGATTAATGAATCAAGAGAAAAAACAACAATGAGTTATTTCTTCACTAAAGACAGTTTTCTGCTTTGTATAGTGTTTTAAAAAACAAATACAATGCTTTATCTTTGCTGAGATGTGGGACAATTTTCTTACAAATTTTGAAAATAAACTTTTAAACATAGGGCATGAAAATACACACACACATACACATACGTACACATGCACGTGCAAGAGACAGGAAAGTCCTGAGTGCAGATAATAGTTATAATGATAATTATTAGACTTTAATGTTAAATATATATAGAAAAATGATAGCTGTCACATTCCTGGGAGATTGTTTAGACTCTAGGTCATTTCAGGCAGGCAAAATCACTGATTTAATATAATACTTCTTGTTTAATGAAGGGCTAAGTTCCAAATATCTGACAACTCCATATTTCTGTCATTTCAGAGTGTGAAAGGAGAGGAATCATGTATTTTAATAATGTGAAAAGCTGACACAGAGCTGTCACATATTTTGACTCAGCCTCTTTTCCATAGGAAGTGCAATGTTGAGTTGGTTCTAACTGACCCATAAGGCTACTGATTTTATGTTGCCAGAAAGACTGGTGACCGCAATTCAATAAGGCAGGCTCTTCCTGTGCAGATTGAATGGCAACTCCTAATGTCCAGGTATAATTACTACTGGACCAAATATTTTATGTGCATTTCTTATTTCCTTTTGTTAGATGTTACTGACATAAATCCAAAGCCAACAGTCATTTCTTGGGGCCTAAATAAAAGTTAGAATTTGGACTTACAGATAATGCCATCTTCATATATCTGTGGTTCCCTGATAAGCTTTTTTTCTTTTCTTTTCTCTTTTCTCTTTTCTCTTTTCTTTTTTCTTTTTCCAAATAGAGTTTTGCTCTGTCATCCAGACTGCAGTGCAGTGGCACAATCTTGGCTCACTGAAACCTCTGCCTCCTGTGTTCAAGTGATTCTCCTGACTCAGCCTCCCAAGTAGCTGGGATTACAGGCACCCACCACCACGCCCGGCTAATTTTTGTATTTTTAGTAGAGTCAGGATTTTGCCATGTTGGTCAAGCTGGTTTTGAACTCCTGACCTCAGGTGATCTGCCTGCCTCGGCCTCCCAAAGTGCTGGGATTACAGGCGTAAGCCACTGCACCTGGTAATCTTTATAATGTCAGTACATGTCACTATGCAATAAAGAAACCAAACATGTTTATTAAAGGTGCTGCTAATGGCCACTGTTTAATTGAATTGAGCTAATATGGCAGTTTTTTGGAAACACAACATTGAGAAAGTGTATCTCTTGCATATTTAAATGCATAACAATCCAATAACAAATATTGCATTACGTTAATATGTATAATTTAGTTCGTTACTTTGAATTGTAAAGAAATCTCTTCACTGCACAAAATACATTGACTTTTCTAACTGTGTGTGTGTCTATTAGCCAATTTAGCTTCTCTTGTCTGCCCATTCACTTGTAAAAGCTGCTAATTCATCAACAGAAAGTGGATACAATCTACATACGAAATGAGTTAGAGGCAAGGAAGCAGTTGATTGCAGATATCAAGTAACTTATTAACAATGTTTTATATAGCTTTGTTCTTTAATGGATTGTGCAGGTTCATTCTTCATTGTGTTGACATTTAAGAGAGAAATTAAGGAAAAGTGAATGGTGATTAAACATTTGGTACAAATACAATAGCATGATGAGTGTGGGTATTGAAGAAGGTATGTCAGATGAATGCCAGGTAGTGAGTTGCAGGCTTATGTATCATCTGGTTTCTAAAAAATGAGCAGAAATGTCAAATATTTCACTTAAAAACATCATTCCATCTTTTCTCCATTGCTCTGGGAGAGTAAGTTTAACTTGTAGTGCTTGCTTTAGCTAACTAGAAATTCAGAAAAACTTTAAATAAATTTTTGAAAACAAGCCTTCAGATGTGAAAAACATGGAATTAGCTATGAATCTTTGTTAGGGGGATATAATTAAAACCAAAATCTCTTCCTAGCCCAGAAAAGCTCTCTGCAGAGGTAGAAGACAAACAATTTTATTATTGAATAAACATTAAACCAGAGTGTGATGAACATCATGAGCAATTGACAAAGAGGTTGAAGACAGAAAAAAATCTGTCTTTTATATAACTAAGCAGATGCAGACCATTATATATACATTTTCTCAAGACAAACAATAATTAGTCCATAAGTAAGAGGACTGGACAGCACCATTTATCACACATAGTTTATCTTAAGTTCACCTCACAACTAGGGGGACCATATGTGTTCACAAATTGGTTGCATCCAAAGGAAAAATAAACTTCTCATATCTTTATGACAATAGGTGCCTTTAGAGCTCAGAGCAAGATACTCGATGAACTTAGGCTCCTACTCTCCCACGGAAGGTGAGAGGTAGGGTTCCTATCTTCCTTGATGATTGCATTTCAAAAATATGCTTCCTAGGTCCTTGAGAAAGACATTCCGGGGTCCTAAAGCTGACAAGTTTTATTTAGCTTTAGAAAAGATTTACGTACATTTCAAAGAGACAGAGAGTTTACAATGACAAGTTTTCTAAAATAAATGCTCTCAAATATTAATTGAAATTCCAGTTTTACCACTGATTAGTTGTGCTACCTTGAGCATACTATTAATCTTTGTGAATCCTAAGTTTGTCATCTGTAAAGTGGGAATCATACTGCCTGCATCATAAGATTATTGTGATGATGAATTGAGATAATTCATAAAATTTTTTAACAGAGTCTTTAACAAAGTTAATGGTTACTATGGTGGTCACCATTATAGGGTTAGCCCCTCTACCAATTATTTTGAACCTTCCCATCAGCTCCAGAATGATGCTTCATCAATTTTTCCCTCTTTTGCTCATATCAACATGTTTTTATTAATCCAGTAGACTCTTTCCTTCAATCTTCAAATGCATTTACATCTCTGTTACAAAACAAATATTTAAATGTTAAGTAAAACAGTACACACTGCAACTTACTTTGATCTATTTTAAAAATCAACATTCCAAAAGTATTATTTATGGATAATAAAATGGACTCATACTAAGCACAGCTTAGTCTTTGTGACATATATATGTTTATATAACCACTAACAGAATCAATATTTAATTGCCATAGAAAGTTCTTTAATGCCAATCTGTAGTCAATCCCCATCTCAAACCCTGCCAGAGGCGACCCCAAAGATCTGCTTTCTGTCTCTGTAGATGTTTTGTCTTTTCTGTGTTTTTATATAAATGAAATCATATAATATGCACCATTTTGTATTTGCCATATTTTTTCAGCAAAGTAATTTTAAGATCTATCCATGCTGTTGCATAAGTAATCTACTCTCTTCTATTACTAAGTATTATTGCATAATATTATTAAATCATAACTTGTTTATGAATTCAATTGCTATTGGACATTTGAGTTGTTTCCAGTTGGAGCTATTATGAGTAAAGCTGTTATAAATATTCTTGTGGAAATAGTTGAGTGAATGTATGTTTTCACTTCTCTTGGGTAAATATTTAGGAGTAGAATTACTGGATCAAAAGACAGATGTATGTTTAAACATATAGGAAACTATTAAACTGTTTCCCAAGGTGATTGTACATTTACATTTTCAGCAATGCATGAGAGTTTCAGTTTCCTTACCAATACTTGGTATTGTCAATATTTAATTTAAGTATTCTAACTCATGTGAACTTAAATCGCTTTGTGGCTTTGGTTTGCATTTCTCTTCCAGTGTTTCTGAGACTTGGAACTTGCTGCTCTATTCTGCTGGGGGAATAAATCACTCATCTCTTGCCTGGTTGGAAAGGAGTATTTAGTTGTCTGTGTTAGGTGAGAGATGGAATCTAGGCAACCTAACCTCTATGTAGACTTTAAACTGAGGCTGGCCCCCAATCCTCCTGCTCCCAAGACTTTTGTGCCTCAAATTCTGAGCCTTTCAGAAAGATTTTTGTAACCCAAAAAGCCTGGTTCCTCTGGGCATCCTCCTCAATAGGCACTTAAGTCTCAACTTTGTCTGTACTGCAAGTCATTTACTTCTATCTATCTGCCCTCTGAGAAAGTCCAAACCTTTGTTGACAACTCTCACCTGAGAATATTTATCTCCAGTTCTATTTGCCCTTGTGTGTTTCTCCATTTAAAAAATTATTTAGAGAAAGAAAAAAAAGCACAAGTGATCAGTTTTTCACATTTTGTTATCTCTTTCCTATTCACCTTGCTTTCTCACTTTTTCTTCACTATTTCACACAGAAGTTAATGATGACAGAGCTCAAGATCTCTTTAACCTTAATTCTAGTTTATTAAAATTATTTCAACCCAAACTTTCTTCTTTCACCCAAACTCCTTTTGTCCTTGATTTCTGCATTAGTCAGCGTTCTCTAGAGAGACAGAACTAATAGGATAGATGTATATATGAAAGGGAGTTTATTAAGGAGAGTTGACTCACATGATCACAAAGGTAAAGTCCCACAATAGGCTGTCTGTGAGTTAAGAAGCAAGGAAAACAGTGGTGGACCAGTTCAAGTCCCCAAACCACAAAAGTCGGGAAATCTACTGTGCAGCCTTTGGTCTGTGGTTGAAGGCCCAAGAGCCCCTTGCAAACCAGTGATGTAAGCCCAAGAGTCCAAAAGCTGAGGAACTGGGAGTCTGATGTTTCAGGGCAGTAAACATCCAGCACAGGAGAAAGTTGAAGGCCAGAAGACTCAACAAGTCTGCTCTTGCATCTTCTCCGGCCTGCTTTATTCTAGCCATGCTAGCAGCGGATTAGATGGTGCCCAGCCAGATTGAGGATGGGTCTACCTCACACAGTCAGCTGACTCAAATGCGAGTCTCCTTTGGCAACACCCCTCACAGACACACCCAGAAACAATACTTTGCATCCTTCAACACAATTAAGTTTGCACTCAATATTAACCATCACAATTTCTATGTCTCAACCACATTGAGGAAAGTATAACTTCTATTTCATTTAATCGTGATCTCACTGAATGGTTCCCTTTTCTCTAAATTAAATTATGTGAACAGGCCAGGAATGGGTAGAGGTCAGCACATTTTTATTTCCAGTAGTTCTATTACAAATACAAATTATTTTAGTAAAACTCCATGGGAATTTGGCATTGCTGCTCTTCAATGGCAACTTATTTCTTAAAGGAAAGAGAGTTATTGCTCTATATGCATTGTGACCTGTTCTCTGCTAGATAAAATGTGTAGGGAAGCTTTATTATGATTCTCTCTGAGATTCTCTGTGTTTTTTTTTGATGCCTAGAAACTATCTCTAATACATAATGTGCTGACAGTGAGAAAATTGACCATTGCAAGCAACATCTAAACCTGGAGATTAAAAGGAGAGCAAAATGATCTTTTTCTCGTTCTCTTTTAAGGGAGCACAATTCTAAAACTCTCCCAAGCTAAAAAGAGAAGATATAAGTCATGAAAATCTTGTAAGAGTGGTGATAAAACTGGCAAATATGCTTTGAGAATAATAAAGCTATTAGATTGCTAGTCAACTTAAAAAATGCCTTAATGTATCACAGAATGGTTGTCTTAAAATTATTTTCTGAATTCTCTCCTAGTTAGCAAATTGAGAGGGCATAAAACAAACTTAAAATAATCTCTAAACACAAATATTTGAATCTGGATTGCTTTGCAATGTGTTTTCATGGCTTGATAATTCCAGAGAAATTGTTATTATTATTTGGTCTTTAATCACAAGATCTTTTTATTGCTATACTATTAAGACATTGAATCTAAAGATGCCCGTTAATTTGTATTAATAGTATAGTATTTATAGTACTAAATATAAAATACATTTCATGTTTAACATTTTCTACCATATATGTTAAGTGATCAAATCTCACCAAACTATTCCGTACTTAGGAAGAACAAATTGTTCTACAGAAAATGAAGGACACTCCAAATGTTCAAGGGACTGGGGATGGTATGTGAAAGCTTTCACCATTAGATAAGTAATTTAAATCATAGGTGGTGGTGTGGAAGGTTTATTAGAAGTTTAGTGATGCTCTCTGACTTATGCTCATTCTAAGAAGCACTTCGTTTTCTAAAGTAGAAAAAGCGTGAGTCAGAGGAAGTTAAAAACCACACTAGAAAACATCTATTTTAGTTTATCATTTCATTCTTCTTCCTAATTGTAAGTCTTAAGAATTAGAAAAAATTTGAGCTGTGGTACATAAGACAATATGGGAAGCATGCCAAGAACTGCATTAGGCTATAGCTTTTGGAGAGCAATAGAATGGTTTTTGCTGATATTTTTATTCAGCAACCAAATTTATAATTTACTAAAAAAAAGTGAGAAGCATATTACATAATTATTCATTCATAAATTAAACAAAACAATATAAATTATGACAGAGCTATGATTATTTTAATGATAATGTACTGGTCTTTAGCAGGAAAACTCTGGTAATTATAATTTGCAGTAAAGGAAAATATATCAATACAGTTTTCAATATCATAGATAGAAGTACTCCAACTTTTAAGTAGCTGCATTTCTGTATAAGACATTCCTTCTCTATAAAATATGAAATTTAAAAATTAAAAAGTAATTTTATACTTTACAGAACCGATTTGCTTATCAGGGATCATTTTCTGTAATGATTTTCTCTTTTATCTTGTGATTTTTCCACTTCTTATCACCTTCAGGGAGGTTATAATTCTGTCACATTTTTTAAAAAGCCTACTAGTTGGTCTCATCTCCTGTATAAGCTATTTTTTGCAGCTATGTGTATAATTTTTGACATATGAATAAATAAATGAAGTGTTTAACATAAATTTATCTTTCAAGTAGCTCTTCATAAATATCTGTTTTTCTAAGCATAGCATAACAAATGAAGCTACAGTGGCAGATTGTACTTTATTGTTGTTATTAATTTTTCTGTTTTATAACAAGTGAATCTGGGCTTTCTAAATAATAATAATGATGAATAAACTTTTGTTGGAATAGAAATCTCCATTTACATGGAATGTGACTAGACATACTGCCAGGCAGATTGAAGCTTGAATTTGTTGGAATACTCACTACCTAAGGGTAAAGCAGGGTGGGGAGGTGGGGGAATGGGGTGATGTGGAGTATACGGGCTAGGTGGGAACACAGACTTAGCTTGTCATTGTCGTAGTGTCTCTATTTTGTACCTCTTCTTATTGTTTCTCAGCCTCTATTTCAGTTTATCTCCATCTACTCAAGTTCAGTTGCCCCATTCTTACCCCTTAATTGCCTTTCTAAAAATTCTTTTAGTTGATTCGCCAGTGCCCAGACACAGGTGTTGCTAACACCTATTCCTTCAGCCTTCATAGCCAACCAAAGCTATTAAATATATTGTGTCTTCACTTTGGGCTTTCTTTAGTATTTCTTCTTTTCCTTTCTGTTTCTTTCAACCTTTTTCTATAGCATTTGACAATGTTTTCTACTCTCCTTTTTAAACTCTCATACCCACAGATCTATTGCCTCTTTCTCTATTTACTTCTTTAAATACTTCTTTTTAGGGCAACTCACTAGGTTTTTTTTTTTTTTTTTTTCTCTTTATATCAGTTCAATGTATGTGCCTAAATAGCCAATGTTCTTGGCCCTCTTGCTTTCTATGTTACTCTTTCATCCAGTTAAGTTAAAAAAAAAATCTGAAAGTCTGCACTATAATAAGTATTAAGTTATCAGAGACAAAAGGCAGCTCTGCCTTCAAAAAGTCACATTGCAATGAGGGAAACAGACAAGGCATTACAATAGAGTGTGATAATGTGTTATCTAAAAGATGGAGCTTTATTCAAGTTTGCATATCCAGGAGGGGGACTTTACCCTACCAGAGTGACATGAAACCTAGTTTTCAAGGCTGAAGGAAGAGTTTATCTGGTGGGTATGGAGCAGGGGTAGTATACGGTGAATCTTCTAGCAGAGGAAATAGTTTGTTCACAGCCTAAGTGGGC